ACATGTAGATGCATCTCTGTTCTATAAATGACGAACTTCTTTGATACTGTAACAATTCAGCCCTTAAAGTCATCAGAGTGAGTTCTTATTTCTACATCAAGATATCAAGTCAAGAATAATACACTGTAGATCATGATACTGCAAAATTTAAGATGAAAGCACCAGCCTTCCCTCCCCCCTTCAACATCTTATGAAGTAACATCTGGGACCTGACCAGTAAATATCATTGTCCATGTACATTGTAGGCCTGCATCCTTCAGCGGCAGAGGAAAGGGTCGCTGAGTTCAGAGCCGGTGGGCAGCTCAGATTCCAACACCTTCTATGAAGATGATTTCAGCAGCTCAGAGCAGAGCAGTGAAGGTAAATGAGCATGGTTGTACACTTTTTATTAGCGACTTTAGCACTGTATCTTGTTTCAAGTCTGCATAGTTGCATAAGTGCATGATTGGAGTTACATAATTCACCATCACGTGGACAGACGAAAAGTCTTGAATGCACAAAATTATATAGATTACAAACAAGACTGGCAATGAAAACATACTTTGCCATGGCGACGGTGGTTGCTGTTAGGGTTATTGTTTGCATGGCACTGCCATCATTTCATGATTTTGAGGAAGACTTGAGGAAGACTTGGTACCTAAGTCTAGACAGATACAGTGCACTCCTCCCCTGAGTGTATAGTGAACGAGCCCTGGGGTCACAGAAAGTAGGGCTATGGGGCAGAGGTGTCTTCCCAAGGGTTTCCAGGAATGTGGGCATAGATGTGGGTCAGAGACATGCCTGTGGACATTCCATTCCTGTGGACAAAATGCCTGTACCATTCCTAGAATTCTTGCAAACTGCACACAATACTGTACCATTAGGCTCCTCCCTGAGACGTCGCCAAAAAGTACTGTCAGGAAAGTTTCCCCCATAATTCTAGATGTCTGACGTGACTTGTAATGTTTCAGAAGATGAGGAAGATGATGATGACAGTGAGCTGATCCTTGGTCATTGGTTTGAAGAGACCATCTCCCCACAACAAGAGGATGACACGACACAAGATACAAACGTCCCTTCTCCTGTCCCAGACGGCACTCCCAGGAGACAGGACCTGAAGGGTGTGGCCAGTTTGGACGCTGTCAAACTAGCAACAGACAGGAGTGATCCTGAAACTGTGAGTACAGTCAGCTAACAACGTGGTTTTTATGAAATAAAGACTAAGCTTTAACTTCCAACACTTAGATTACAGAATTGGAACTTACCCCAAATTTTCGGTTGACTCCATCAACCTTGTTCACGGAATGGACCCGTCTACTCTTGGAACGTGACGTCAGAGACACGGTCACGGGTCATACGTGCCAGATAGCGTGTGTCGCCCCCCGTCTCTGTTCAGGGTAGGTCTATGAGCTCTTATGTAGACCGCCTCTTTCACTCCTCTTGCAAAGAAGTCCGATTCAGAATCAAGGATTTTAAACCCTTCCAGAGATACTGAATGTCCCGGAGATTCAATCAAAATGAACAAGGTTGATGGAGTCAACCGAAGATTTGGGGTAAGTCCCAATTCTGTAAACTAAGTGTTGGAAGTTAAAACTTTATTTCATAATGATTTGTACCAACACAGATGAACTTTCATGCTAATGTGGTCTGTATGTTGTCCTGGGAAGTCCTGTAAATTGTTGACCATAAATGACTACCGCATCATGATGTTGTACTGACTTTGTGACATCTTATGTTAAAGTTGCTGTCATTGGCTACTGAGGTACTGACCTTCATCACGACCTACCTGGTCAACTCCAGCTGCCTTCCTGCCAAACAGTATTTCAGGTAAACCTTCAACAGTGGGCTTTACTAAACCTAATGTAATCTGTCAGTCTCAGTATAGGCTAGAGAGCCCTATTTTTCTGTAGTTTTTGAGGCAGTTTTTAAGTTAAAAAATCCATTTCAGCTGAACACTGCGAAATGTACACAGTCAATTGTCTTCTCGTCCCCTCGCCATGGTTAGTAAGATCATCATACATGACTTACCCACCATGGCTCATGTCGAGAAGGCAACTACACTTGTCTGACACCACAGGTCGGACCAAATTTTAATTTGTCATTCAACTATGGGCCAAAAAAATCAATTGTCCCTTGACAATCAATGCACAGCGCCGCTAAAAACACTGTCCTACAGCACTGCATGGCGATCATCATGGGACAAATGATTTTTTGTCCCATGTGAGTTAGCCCTATTCTGGTATGAATGGTACCATTTTGAACACACAAGTTTATTATCATTTGAATTATTAGGTCCACATTAATCTGTCCCAAATCTGTTCTGAGTTTGGTGATGATGATGATGAACACAAAAACCTGTACAAAATGTATGCTTGACTACAATGTACCTGTTTATTTTTCAGTGCATCACTGTCTGACCAACAAATGGCAGCAGTAGCCATTGTTATTAAAGATCTGGACAAGGAATGTACTGACACTGAAGGTTAGAAAATTAAGAAACTAGAGTAACTAGCGTATGTACAGTCATGTATGTATGTGTAAATTACATTATGTACAGCACATTATATACATTAAGACATGAAAAAGTTATAATTAAAAACTGTACATGATACTAATGTGGTCTGATGGCTGTACACGATATTGCATATTGTATTTATACAATCATATAGAATAAAAATTTTTAGTTATACATACACATCATGTACATGTTACTTCTTAGTTTTCCTTTGTAACAGACATGTCCTGGGTACAACTCGGGATCGAACCCAGGTCTCACTGTTTCATAGTCGAACGTTCTAACCACTACACTATCCGATGCCACAAAGGCAGTCACTGATGTGAAGTGTGTGGCTACGTGAGTAACAGTGGTATGTTGTGTTCCATGTTTCCAGCCTGGTGGCTGCAGGGCCTGTCTTCAACCCTGCTGTGGTTCCTCCATCAGCTGCTGGTGACAGATGTGCTGCCTGCACCTGTACAGGTACATGTAGGACTAGCACCTGACATGGAGCCAGGTGCTGGTACTGGTGGTCTGGCATGTTCATGATATTACAGGGCTCAAAATTCATTTTTGGGACACTGGTGCACCCAACCTAAAAAATTGGGTGCACAACATTTTTTGTGTGTGCACCATTATTATATTATAAAATATAATATTAACCAGAATGTCAGCAATAAGTACCAGTAATTATGTTACATTTCTAAAGAAAAGTAATACAATAATGCTTTTATTATTTTTCTGACACTTGGATGTTAAGTTAAGAATATGCTGTATACTACTATACATTTAAAATCTTTAAAATTTCATACGTAAACCTACGAAAATATTTAGGTGAACTGGTGCACCCACAGAGAAAAATTGGGTGCACAGCTCCAAATTTGGGTGCACTAAGATGCACATGCACCCAGTGTTTCGAGCCCTTTATTGTAATTATCACACTACTTTCATGTAGACACTGAATCAGATGTAACAGCTAAAAATTAAAATGCAGGAAGGATCACGTCACTGTCCTTCTAAGAGAGATCAGCATTTTGCCCATACTACAGCAACTGTATTCATAAGATTCTATGAACATTTTAAGTTGTACATCTGCATTAGGAACAAACATGTAATTGTTAGTATGTTCCTATCTACCTCTAAATGGTTTAAACATTAATCATGAAAGTTTTGTATGTACAGTTACTGTAGTAACTGTTGTGTTCTGCATTGTACAGAGAACTGATCATAGCGTATAAAATGTAGTTTTAACATATCCTGACCTCTACTGTACAAGATTGTACATGTACAAGATTGTACATGTACAATCGTAGTTCACTTTCTAGACTTGGATTATGACTTTGTCTGTTAGACAACTTACAAGTGCATAGGTTGGACAGTTCCCATAGTTCCCATACGTGAGCATCCATTGTAGGGCAGACAGTACTATTAAATCTGGCCATAGGAACACATGCATAAATACACTTAAAGAAGTCCCCATGAAAGTAGTTACCCATCCTTCAATCTCTTCAAATTCTTCGGCACCTGGTAGCCACAAGGGTCTGATTCCCAAATATAGAAAGTAAACAGGGGGTCAACCTGGTCAAATTCTCGCGACAGCTGATGATAGTAAACAAACCCTACTTTTGACCTACATTGTAATTTTCTGAAGTATCCATCCGCCCTGGTCAGGCCAGACCTCATCACTCAGGTCCCTCATTATGCCCACTAAACTGCTGAAATGAGCAAAATTTGATCAAAGTAGGAAAGTTTAGACTTAACCTGTTCCTCCTAGACAAAAATCTCCAAGCTGAACCAAAATTTTCAAGAGAAAACAGGATTTTCAAAGATATTAACTACTAGTAGGAACTACTGTAACAATGATTCGTGTTCCCATATTTGGGCCTCTACTGCGCAATGCAATTGTGGTGTCTGCCTGTAGGCAGTAATTGTTGATGGAGTGTTGAATATGATCGTCATTGTTGATAGTTGTAGCTTGTTGTTCTGTTTACAGGTCAATCTTCTGTCCCACCTGGGAGTGTCCCCGCGCGAGGCTGGGTCCTGGCCGCTGCAGCTGAAGCCGCACTGCCTGGCCGTCCTCACACGGCACCTGCTGCTGCAGCAGAGGAAGCTGGGTACAGCTGCAGACAACAGCGACGTCCTCAACATATGGGAGAGGTCAGAACAATGTTGTCCATGATGATTCTATTTTACAGTATGCCTACAGTAGATACAGGAGCAAATGTGCTGTGACATTAAAATGCCTTTAGGCCACACCAATTTAATTTGTTGGTTTTCAGATTCGCCTCAGACTTGCAAAAAATAAAAAAATAAGTAAAAAAAAAAAGATTCTGGTTCTGAATCAACTCAAAAATTTTGCTCCCAACAGTTAAGTCATTTTCTTCCTAGTTGTTGCAGTTTTTCAATCTATCCATGCAGTGCTTTGATTAAAAGTTCGAAATTTGTTGTTTAAATATTAACACAGCCTTTTGTGTTGACTTCAAGTTCATGGCTCCAATTGTAGTATTTTGGGCTATAATGGGATGCCTAGATCTGTTTTTATTTTTATTTTTTTTTCGCCCTGTCACTTCATATTTTCTCTGAAAGTATTGGAGAACCTACAAATTAAATTGGTGTGGCCTTATCAGTGGACGTACATGTATGACACTGAGAATCATTAAGTGTCTGAAACACACAAGGCTGCAGCAGGGAAAAAGAGGACTTCACCTCTGTTCTTCTCTTTCCTGATATAATGATGGGCAACCTAGCTTCTGGCTAAATAAGTCAGCAACCATCCAGTGGACAACCTGACGAAAAAAGGTTTCAAACCCTGCCTTTAGAATGGCATCAGCTAAACTAAAGTAAAGTGTGTGACTTTGCTGTTTTATTACACTTGAACAGGTTATGAAACAGTGCAGGTGCTTTTTGCTCTTTTTCTCATCATTCCTGTTTTCTGCATGAAGGTTTATTGACACCTTGAAGAACAAGTCAGTCAGCCAGGACACCGCTGCAGATACAGATGGTGAGTGGAACTGTACAGTACTGGAACAGTACAGATGTCTGATGGCAGTAATGGTAGTCTTGTTAAGCGAGGATTGTGTCTCCAGACTCTCTTCTATCACACCTAACATTGCTATAGTCACCAGTAAAATTTCAATGCAATTCCATCAAGAATGACATAAGCCAGTTGATGGTTGATTAATCTAGTTATTGACAGGAATTTACAGTAATATTTTGCCACAATCACAGCAAGAATAAATGATGATGCATATGGGGTTCTTTGAATTGACACCAAAATGGCATCAGTCTGCAGAATGTGTGTTTTCTTAAATGAATAAATAATCCACAAATTATCATAGTATACAAAACAAGTGAATGCAACTTTTATGTACTAGGTGTTACTAAATCATTGCTTGTGCATGTGGTCTACAACTATAGTATTTTAAAACATTTAAAACATTTCAAGCATGACTAGTATGTTACAGTGTATACTATTAGTAGGAATTTGTTCCCAAAACATAGAATAATTTTTGTTACTCAAATGAATCACTGCTGGTGCAGACATACATGTAGAGTTGTGGTAAATGTTCAGAATCAATTTGCAGGTTGATCTTAGTATATGCAATGTTTTATTATTATATATAGCTTTATGTTCTGTATTTCAGATTTGAATGTAGAACATCTGCAGCTGCTTCTGATGCTGTTCCACAACCTCAGCTGTAACAACCGTAGAAAAGTCCTTGTTCACACAGCCAGTGCACTCATCGCGGTAGCAAATGCTGGGTAAGACTCACATGTACAATCTTGTACATTGTAAATCTGTATCGAGTCAAACATGTTGTTACAGTTGTTTAGTCCATTCATCAGCCTCTTGAAACCCTTGCTCTTGTTGCTCACACGACATACATGTAAATGTACATGCTACTGTGCATGTAAAGGGTCGCAGTCCTTAGGACGGGATGTTAACCTGTGGTCCACTGTTCATTGTGCTAAAAGAGGTCGGGGAATTTCACTGGTACATAGAACCTGTAAGTACTGTACAATGTCATATCGTCTGTCTTATCTGTCATGACCAGTAGGAGATTACATGTACATGTAGCTCTTCAGTGAGCTCTTCATTTTCCTTTCTCAGAGCACTTTCCTTGTCCATTTTACACATGTACACAAAATGTAAGTGAACAATTGCAGTACATTGTACATGATTGTATGTTTTGTGTAGTTGTATTTAAGATTTAACAGCATTACTCAAGAAGCTAAATGATTATTGATGACTTTTGGTAATACTATATGGGTACATGAAGGTGTCAAATTAAACAACGGACAAGTTGGATTATTGGCCTTCTACAGGCTTTCTATGGTATAGCAGCTGATCTCTGGTTTTGGTATCTCCCACCACATCTTTTGGACATGAATCAAAGATTGTACCAGCAGAGACTTGATGATAGGGATTATACTGGCAGAGACTGGGGGATCTGTACTAGTAGAATCACCAGTTGTACCAGATCAGAGCCTCTATCTTAACATTTGTATGTTAGCATGCCAGTTGGCACAATGATGTTTGTGCACAGGAGACACATTTTTGTGTATACCATGATGTGTTATGGTTATCTAGTGAGGGCAGTGTAGCGCCTCGGTGGCCTGTACTACTATTATCAAATTAAACATGACAACTTTGAGTTGACTTATTGTTAGAAGAAACTGAAGTCACTAGAAGATCTAGTGAATTGCACTGACCAAATTATTGTCTGTATTTTTGTTCAGAAACCTGCAGACCAGCATGCCCCTGACACTGTCCCGCCTGGTTCTGGTGTTTGATTACTTCATTCACAACTTTTCTGAAGTTCCTGGGTACCTTGTAGACCAGGTAAGTACTGTCATGTACACTTGTAATATTTGTACTTCTACTTGTTTCTTCTATGTCTGGAACCTCTACATTTGTATATCAGCCAGATACTAGTGCAGAATACAGGCTCTAGAAAAGTTCTTTAAAAGTCAAAATGAATTTATTAGTTTTTGTTTATCACCATCATCACTTTAGTCCTTGCTAAATTTGAACTCTACTGCTGTATAAATTACGGAGATTATTTCTGGACATTTTGAGTGACATCTCACTACTCTTTAGCGTTACTGAAGAACTGACAGAATTAATCAACAATTATCACATTTAAAAAAACTTTTAAAAACGGAAGTCCTGCATCCAACAAACTTAATTGGCATATTCTGAGGCTCATACTATATTCTGTAAGGCCACGCCAATTTAATCTGTTGTTTCTCGGATTCGCCCTGTCCAAAAACATATTTTGGCTCAAACTGTTGAAGAAAGTCCTCTTCTTCCTAGTTGTTAAAGTTTTTCTGTGTAACAATGCAACTTTGTTTCATTTATTAAAGTTCAAAATGTATTGTTTTAATCATAAACCAGCCTGATATGTTGACTTCATGGCTCATATTGTACATGTACCATTTCCGGCTATCATGGGGTGCCTTGGCCTTGTTTTTTTTTTAATTTTGTACTGTTGCTTCATATTTTTCCTAGAAAAAATCTGAGAAGCAACAAATTAAATTGGTGTGGCCTAAGGATACAATTTGGCTAGAGGATCAAGATGAGTTTTGTGTTAAAATACCGATTATCTAAATGTAACATGTATAAGCTGCAGTATCTACAATTTTTCCATGTCTGACTCATGTGTTTGCATTGTGTGTACTTGTAATTCAACATTCAATTTGCATGATTCCCCTGTACCTACAGGTGAGGAGGAACTTGTTTAGTGGACAGTATGGCGGCGTCATAAAGACAACACACCTGGATGACGAGAGCAAAGCCAAGATGTGGTTCACCTTCTCTGATTGTGAGACTAACTACAGGAAGAATGTACACATGGTGGAGTCAAGTAAGTCACTGGAATACTGACAAACTGGTGACAACGTGAAAAGATACATTTTGTAGTGTTGTGGTTAGGGTTATTGACTAATCTTAGAACCTAAAGGTTCTGGGTGTGTTCAAATCCTTAGCAAGCTCAACTCCTGCAATTACATGTGCAAAGATTGAGTGTAACAAGTCGTTCGGTGTGATGTAGCTAGCTGCCGCCGCGCCGCGTGCCTGCGAAGCTGGTGTGTTACGCAGAAGGGCGGTTATACCGGCTATACAGATACAGAAGCTGGTGTGTTACGCAGAAGGGCGGTTATACCGGCTATACAGATACTGTTATGTCATTGAGAAAGGCACTTTACACCAGGCCTATTTCCTCACTTGACTCACCCTAGCTGGGGTTAGGGATGTTCTTTCACATAGAACATAAAGCTGGATTGTCCACTGTTTGAAAAAAAGCCACACCTTGAGCATGTTAAAGATCCCACCGCACTTACGGTGAATTGTAGGGTCCATCCCTGTGTGGGTTGATTAAAAGTCTTCTGCACACAGTAAATCTTCAGGCTCTTGAGGTAACAGGGAAGTTTGTTTAAAAGTACATTCAATTTGGAATTATGGATAGCAGGTTAATGTTTCTGACATGACAAGAAGCTCACTGGCAGCATAGTGGCCTCTGTCGTATTTTGTGATGTTGAGAATTAGTTTCACATTTACTGGACACTTTGCTACTTTGTTTTCTTGCATCACTGACTTGAAGTTAAATACATACCCACAGATGTGAAGTGCAGCGTGCAAAATACCTGGTTGCCCAGTTGCCCGGCAAATTTTACTTGAATGGGGCAACCTAGCTATTTTTGAACCTAGGTTGCCGCTTCCCCCCCCCCAAAAAAAATCATGCCCACTTGGCTTGCACCACTTTATCAGGCAGATGCTTTTAATTTTAGGTATTAATGGCTATTACTAGTAGTATCAGTTAACTAAAGGCTGTTTGAAATATTGTCAAAGGCTTAATATGTATGTAACATTACTTAATTTGAGGAAAGTAGTAAGTTATAGGTGGGGCAACCTAAAATTCTGATGGGCAACCTAATTTTTGCCATAGGTTGCCCACTGGGACAACCTACTAATTTTGTTATAAGACTTACCATTATGTAACTTGCCCACTGGGCAATCTGGTTCAGAAAAGTATTTTGTACCCTGGAAGTGTGATAGCCTCCTATCCATCTCCTTTCTCTCCAGCTCTGCTACTTTGCTTGTCACACACAGAAGCAGCCATCATAATATTTCAATTTTGGAGAGGGCCATGTTTTGAACTTTGTGCTGTCAAAGCTGGCATGTTGAGTTTTTTTATTCAGTCCCTCTTACTACCTCACTCTCTTCTACATTTTGTACACTGCTTTTTGAGAGCCACCCTTTCACCAAATGTATACATTAGATTACATAGAGAAGTTTAACTTTGAACAATTTCAAGACTTAACAAAAATTTTGCAGATACAGGAAGCAGTTTGAACCCGAAGTTCTATGACTGCTCCAGGAGATACCTGGACCAGGGACATCCCCTGTATTGATGAAATGGTAGGTACAGTTTGCTTGGCATGATTAATTTTGTTATAAGACTTACCATTACAAACTTTTCATTTTCTCTTGTTTTTACAACCTGTCAAAATAACAAGTGGACACTACCAACTTTATTTGGGGTTAAGACAGTGTTTGGGGGTTACTCACTCCGCAAACTGGAGTGAGAGACACCGTATCTATTGTTCTATTCTCTGCTAATTATGCAATTTTGGGGTTAATTCCATGTCTTTGTTTTTCAACGGAACACAATAGAAAGGTACCCCCATTTGCAGTGCCGATTCATAAATTCCGCAAAAAGCCAGCATGTGCCAGCTTGTATACGTCACTAAGTACTAGTACTACCGCAAATTCACAATACCTACCTTGTATTCCTATGGTTTAGTAGCATTTTTATTTTTGGCCAGAAATTTTTTTATTCGCCCGCACGCACTAGTTTGGGGGTCCTCAGAGGATGTCATCCATAAAATTAAGACGGTGTGGCCTTATCAACAATAAGGTCATGTTCTAAGCTTGACATATGTCATGTAGTTTGTCTAAAACAGGCAATTCTCAAGTAAAAGTTTACAAAGCACTTAATGTACTTGGAAAAGCTCCTGACACTTTTGTTATATGGTCTATCTTACATGTAATTTAACCCTTGTCCTGCTGACATTCCTGGCACAGCATTTTTCAATAATTTCATGTCTTAATTAGATCATAGACCCCCAAATTTTTTTGCCCTGCGGTAGCATAGTTACTTCCGCATTTGTTGCATTTCGCTGCAGTGTGATGTGTTGCACAAAAAATACCCTCAAATCTTACCTACATGTATACAGGGTGTTATATAGATGGTACTGAGTGTGCAGAACAACAATTGTTTTGCTCTGCAGGACAAGGGTTAGGGCAGCCTGACGTATTGATTTTACATCGTTATTGCAAGTCTTTCAGCATTCCCTATGAATTACATTTTGTACATGTA